TAAGGAAACACTCCAAAAAGGGAGAGAGATCACTATATAGTCGATATACCCCTCAATGAAAACATTCATGCATTTTTTTGCTGCATGTAGTCGGGCCCGGACTGGCCATCGGGCATACCGTGCAAATGCCGGTGGGCCACGATGGCTGTGGGCCGAGGCCAGCAGGGGAGATCACAGGATCTCCTCTGTCAGTCCATGCAGAGCCGGCCCTATCAGAGTGCTGGCCCTGCTGTGTGCCTTCATGGGCCGGTGGGGAGATCAAAGATCTCCCTCATTGGCCCAGAGGCACTGATATGCAGCCTCTGGCTGGGGAGGGAGCGAGGCAGGAGGGGACCCGGGGAGCTCTAGCCAGCAGCTCCGCCGGGTTCCTCTCACGAGGTCTGAGTGTCACCGCGGTTACCATGGCAACACTCAGATCTTGCGAGAGTGAACTGTAGCCCTGCAGGCTAGACTTCACTCTTACCAGTAAGACCACCAGGGGTGGCAACACAGCCCCCCTCCATGGCAGCACGGCTCCCCCCCTCCCAGGCTAAAAGTAAGAAGCGAGGGGGGGATATAAAGTTTTTGTTTTGTTTTTTATACAAAAAAACAACATTTAAACATATTTACACTCACACACAGCACCCTCACACACACACACAGCACAATCACACCCTCACACTAACAGCACCCTCACACTAACAGCACCCTCACACTAACAGCACCCTCACACTAACAGCACCCTCACACTAACAGCACCCTCACACTAACAGCACCCTCACGCACAAACAGCACCCTCAGGCACAGACCGCACCCTCACACAGCACCCTCAGACACACATAACACACTCTCACCCACTCTCACACATATGTATAATATATAAAATAACCCTCAGTGAGTTAACAAAGAAAATTAGAAACATAGAATGTGACAGTAGATAAGAACACCCTCACACACACAGCACTTTGAGAAACTGGAATTCAAATAGGATTCACCTCACCCATAAAGCTCTTCAACAAGCTGATGGACTTCATGGGTGTGGAGTAGTCCTTTAAGTGTAGGCAATAATTACGGCACAATTGTGTCTCATGAAATAACACTTCTGTACGTAACCCATTGTGCACTATCTGAAATGTTTCCAGGGTGAGTGACCTAGCATTTGTTTTCTACTATTTTAATCAGCATGGGCTCACCATTTTGTTTACCGTTTGTGTGCATGCATAATGCAGTAGTTCTTGAAGTAATTCCATTTAGTGTGAAAGTGTAGTGATAAAATGGCATGCCATGTTTGTGTGAAGCAGCTTATTTCTCGAAAATAAGCAAAATGTTATTTTATATTATGCATTACATATATATATAATTCTTTTTTTTTTTTTTTTAGTAAATATGCTGCAAATTATTTAGAAATTCAATCTGTTTCCTTTTTAGTTTTTCAGGCCATTGAATATCCGAGTAGCTTTGGTTGGAGTAGAGATATGGAGCGATGCAGATAAATGTACGATAACTCAAGATCCGTTTACCAGCCTTCATGAATTTTTGGACTGGAGGAAACTACATTTGCTACCTCAAAAGCCCCATGACAATGCCCAGCTTATAAGGTTTGCGCATCTGCTATTTTACCTGCACTGTGCCAAGGAAAAAATATTTTACATACTGCGCTACTGTATAGTGTAAGGAAGGAGAATGAACAAGTGGCATTTGTATAGGTACTATGTCAACAGGGATGTCATCAGGGACATACAGGGAGTAGTATGAGTTGTAGAAAATTGCATTGGACACTACTTTTCCATGTTGTTTTGTTTGTTAAGGGGCAAAGTCCCTGGAGGGTCTTCCTTGTATTTTTAAACAATCAGCAAAAAAAAAACATAGTTGCTCTTTTCGCAGATATGTGCTACGAACAGTCGGTTGTCTCTAAATACTATTTATGGTGCAAAAACAAAGCATACTCAACTTTTGCATACTTTGTGAGTTTAACTAGAGACTCCTAATTGAGTAGTTTTTTCCATAGTGAGAACAATTACTGGAAATATTTGTGTATCCAGGAGCTCCTCAATATTTCTATTATAAAGATACATAGGAGAAGGGCAAAAAGACAGGGTTATGTTATTCTTGGGATACTGGAGCTGAGGCTACAGGCCTATACATTTAATAGCCTCAAGTATTACATTTATTATTAGTATTATATTTTGTGATATGCTGTTGCATTGCGTTCGATTGTCACAGATTGTGGCCAAACAGTCACAGATGTCTTACCTGGCCTGGTTGAGCATTATAAAAAAACACTTATACAAGAAATGGAGCTACAGAGTAGCTCTGATTTGATGCTCTAGTGCGGTATAATCCCCACTTAAGGATTTGTAGTGTACCAAGTGGGTGATCCAAAACATATGGACTAAAAACTAAATAAAACAACTGTATAGTGCAGTATGTCAGGACAGTATCGGCTAGTCAAGTACGTAAATACAATTTCACTCACATCAAGTGGAGCCTCTTGATGGCTCCTTTAAACAGCATGGAGTGTTGTAATCCCCACTCACTGATATAAAACCTGGAAAGTGTCTTCTCCATGGTGTATATACAAGAGAGTAAAACAAAAATATAGTGCACATTGTATAGAAAATAAGTGCAAACAGATATAAAACCTAGTAGAGTTTTGCTCAATGCATAGAACTTGGGGGCTACATTACCACCTGAGTACAATGGAGTCCAGAAGGTTATGGAATAAAATAGGATGGTCCAGGGATTTTGAAACATTATCTATCTTTATTGGGAATAATTAAAGTATTGTCCTGCCCTCTTTACCTCCCACCAGAGATGGGAGATATGGGTTTCTCTATGACCCAGGCCCCAGTGCGCATGGGTCTGCACTATGCAACATATAGGATCCATTCCTTGTATCCTCTGACCTATAGTGTTATCATTTAGCACTTGTGCCCTTTGCTTTTCCTACTGAATATTTCTGTGCCTCAAACTTCTTGTGAAGATTAATAATTTGAGCTTACAATTTCTAAACTTTTTGCAAAATTTTTTGGAACGGTTGGTCCAAATCGCATTTCTTTAAACCTAAACAGATAGAGTCCTAATAAGACGAGTCTTATTGATTGTATAAAACTTCACAGATAAATCCTAAATTGATCTATTTTATCCTGGTGTGCATTAAAATGAATTTAATTTGGATGAACCGCTCCAAATTAATATTTTCACACGTCACACATTTTATGAAGGCATAATGGCAGTGGTTTTATATATGACTATAAAGTCTAGCTACAGACGGAGGTCAGACACAAACTCTTCTAAGGAAGACTAGAAGAGAAAAGAAAAATTGCATTAATATTCCCACTGTAATATTTAGCTCCAGGCTCATGAAGCCCTTAAAATATTTGGCTCTACGGCCATGAAACCCTTAAAATATTTGGCTCTAGGCCCATGAAGCCCAAGAGATATTTGGCTCCATTCCCATGAAACCCCTTACCCAGAACTGCAAAACTGGGTGCATGGGGGTATCTGGTAAAATAAAAGGGCACAGGTACGTAAGGCTTGAAGTCAGGCATCGCAACACCATCTGCACTATTCACAAGATTCAGCAATGAGCTGTGAAACCACTGTTGTTGATGTGAGTAAAGGTTTGTTACATTGTATCCAAGGACCAATGTAGAGTGTAAAATGGTTTCCCCGGAGCTATCAGTCTTGTGTGAAACTATTATAGGCTTCGCTGCAGGAGAAACCAAGCTTATTGTGCGGCAATGATGCTCACAGCTCAGAAACCTCTGCTTCTAAAGTCTGAACTATAGATTGCTGCTGCTTCAGTGTGGAGCTGCTTTTATTGTGACATTATGTCTGACAGACTGCCATTTATTACATAGTTATAGGGGAAAACACCCTTAAGCCCCTAGTTTAACCTTTATCATGTGTCTGGTGGTATAAAGAAATACAACGTTGGGTAGAATGGCAATTTTTCATACCCCGGGTACTGTGAAAGCAAACTTTAAATTAAATTTAAGCCATTTAGTATTAAAGGGTACATTGTAATGTGTGTTCAGGGGAACTATTTTTACTATCTTAACTATACAATTCATAGTCCTTTAATGTTTATATACATTGATCAGCCACAACATTAAAACAACTGACAGGTGAAGTGAATAGCATTGATTATATTGTTAAAATGGTATCTGTCAAGGGTGGGCTATGTTAAGCAGCAAGTGAACAGTCAGTTCTTGAATTTCATGTGTTGGAAGCAGGAAAAATTGAAAAACTAAAAGATCTGAGTGACTTTGACAAGGGCCAAATAGTGATGGCTAAATGACTGCGCCAAAGCATCTCCAAAACCACAAGTTAGTACCTATCAAAAGTGGTGCAAAGAAGGACAACAGATGAACGGGCTTCAAGGTCATGGGCACCCAAGGCTTATTCATGCATGTGAGCGAAGGCTAGCCCATCTGATCCGATCACACACACAAGAGCTAATGTGACCCAAATTAATGAAAAATTCTATTCTGCCAATGATATAAAGGTATGTGCATGGTTTACCTGGGGAACAGATGGCAGCAGGATGCACTATGGGAAGAGAACAGTGCAACAGAGACTGTGTTATGCTTCTGGGGAATGTTCTGCTGGGAAACCTTGGGTCCATGTGGATGTTACTTCGACATATACGACCTAACTAGAGATTGCTGCAGACCACGTACACCCATTCATGGAAATTGTGTTCCCTGATGGTAGTGGTCTCTTTCAGCAAGAGAATGCACCCTGCAACAATACAAAATTTGTTCAATTCAATTGAGCATCTGTGGGATGTGCTGTAACAACAAATCTGATACATGGAGGCCCTGCCTCGCAATTTGCAGGACTTAAGGATCTGCTACTAATGTCTTGGTGCCAAATACCACAGGAAACATTCAGATGTCTTGTGGAGTCCATGCCTCTACACATCAGAGCTGTTTTGGCAGCATGAGGGGGACCTACAGGATATTAGGCATGTGGTTTTAATGTTGTGACTCATCAGTTTGTGTGTGTGTGTATATGATATGTGTGTGTGTGTGTGTGTATATATATATATATATATATATACACACACACACACACACACACATTTTTCGACTTTGTGTGTGGAAATAAATGCTTCAGAGACCCAAAAAACTAACTGAACTAGATTTCACAGTTGTTTGGTAAGCAAATAAAACTGAATTAAATGATGTCACCATCTGAAATGAGAACTGATTGATTTATGCAAAAATGTTACACTTGCTTCTTCTGGGAATTGGTGTTTTATTCAGTTCTGTTCTGTTACGTCAATTTGTGTTTGGCATTCAAAGTGTCTAGAAATGAATGTGTGATTTAAAGTGAAAGTATTTTCGTAGAATTGTTCAGTAATGCAGTTCAATTCATATTTACAATTCTAGAATGATGTAGTTCTAATGTTGAATCGTAGGATAGCAGTCTAATCCAGATTAGTATTGTAAAATAAAAGTCCAATCCAGATTAGAAATGTAGAATAGTAGTCTAATCCAGATTAGAATTGTAGAATAGCAGTCTAATTGTCCATGGCAATAGCGGTGTAGCAAAATAAGTCCAACCGATCCGAAAATTGTGGCGGACTAACGCAAACATAATAAAAGAACAGTAGACTTAGAAGATTAATATATGTGAAACTCAACTTGTCTGGCATAGATGAGTTGGTAGGTGATTTTAGTCACAGCAGGAGTCGTTGCAACGCCAACTGGTCTGTTATCATGGGCAGATTTGGGAAGCAATGGGTGGCAGTCATCCATCGTCGAGGCCGGCAGGGCAGGCTGACATCCTCCATAGATGGCTTAATCCAAAAGGTCAGTTCTTCTTCAAATTCTGTCACCTTTTGCCGATTCGAGAGAGCACAAGGCTCGTAATGGGTTCTGTTGTCGCAAGGGGACTGAGCCACCATGCCTTAACTCCTCATAACTTCGGCCCCAGGCCATGGTAGAAGCCCCAGCCAAATGTCCACGGATTCCTCCACTCTCGGTAGGAGGAACGCGGGCCTGCAGGATCTCTGGGTTTCAGACAGCTCCGCGGGTAAGTAGACTTTGGTATGGAGCTTGCTCCAAATGGGCACCCAGCCCAGGAAGAGGTTGAGTAGCCGGGGAGGCAGCACAGGATATCCCAGCAGCGTGTGGATCAGGTAGGTGAGATCTGCTGCTTATTTGATGCCAGAACTCCTGGCAAATTGCATTAGTTTTAGCGGTGAAAGCCTCCTTCCATACTAGGAGTGTTTGGCTTCGCTGGTATGTTGGCTCAGCGGCCATCTTGCAGACGCAATGTGGGTAGTGGGGTCACCGTGGAAGTAAAATTATGGCTTTGGAGTAGTGAATCTCCCCAGCTAGGACCAGGATATCCCACGGTGGTCCAAAGGCAGGGGGAGGGGGTGACGGGGCTGTGTTGAAGTTGTAGTGAGCTGCGCGACCCTTATCAGTGGATTGGCCCCCTTCCTCCTTCAGTAGGCCGCCAGACTCGGTATGCTGCTGGGCTGGGAGTGGAGATTGCATGCCAAAGCTTTGTTACTGGATCAGTGATGTGCTTTTTGTAGGAGATGTCATCTGGTATGGTCCGTGGGCAGCTCTCGGGTATATTTAAGGCATTTTCAGTACAATTGGTGCATAAGTTATTTGGAGTTACTTTAAAACACAACCGGCCATCTTAGGAGTCAGGCCCCGCCCCCTGTGTGAGACGTTTTGTAGATAAATAATTTAGAATTCTTCAAATTGTATTGAATAATTTGGAAATCTTATTAAATCAAAGCCTGAATATGCAGATTCAGGGACAGTAACCACATTTGCATGAAATAGCCAAATTTTCATCCAGTTAAGCTAGAATGCCTAACTCTAGTAATCTAGGTGCAAATTTCCCTGTCACCATCACATTGTATGTAGTCAAACCATTTTCAGTTTCTTTCCAGTGTGGCCTACTTTTGTGATAGCACTAGTGATGACAATTTCATCCATGTATGGATGAGATTCTTTGGCTGTTAGCATCAGCCACGCCTTGCACTATAACAACTTCATAATCATAGTTTTAATGGTGCCTCAATTATGGTTCTCTTCAATTTTAGCACAACCTTCTAAATTAACTAAACTACAAGTTAGTTATAGGTCAGTGATGGCTAACCTTGACACCATAAATAGTTTCTGGACTACATTTCCCATGATGCTCAGCTAGCTTTTAGCCATCAATAGGTTGTTATAGGTTGTGCTGTTGTTTATTTTTGCATTTATTTTTGCTTGCATGCTTTACTGGGCAATGCCTGGCTAAGTATATACATTAGTTGACTCTTGTACACCCTTCTGGATAATATGCAGAACGTATATGCAATCATCCATACAGCATTTCCCCATTAGATGATGCAAGATGAATACTGAGGTTGCTAAAAGGGACACCATAGTCACCAAAAACTTTTTTAGCTTAATGAAGCATTTTTGGTGCATAAATTATTCCCCTGAAGTTTCACTGCTGAATTCACTGCCATTTAGATGTTAAATCACCTTTGTTTCTGTTTATGCAGCTCTAGCCACACCTCCCCTTCTTGTGAGTGACACAGCCTGCATGAAAATAAAATGGTTTAATTTTCAATCAGATGTAACTTTCTTTAGAGGGTTTATCTCTTGCTCTGTAAATTGAACTTTAATCACACACAGGAGGCTCATGCGGGGTCTGTCAAGCTTTTAACAGAACAGGAGATATAGATATCTGAAGTAAACATAATTTTCCAATAAAGGAAGTGTAAATATTAGATGACTCTTTACAGGAAGGGTTTAGGAAGACTGTGTAAGTCACATGCAGGGAGGTGTGACTAGTGCTGCATAAACAAAGTTATTTAACTCCTATTGACAGGGAATTGAGCAGTGAGGCTGCAAGGGCATGACCTATACACCAAAACTGATTAATTAAGCTGTTGTTTTTGTGAATATAGTGTCCCTTTAATGTCCACTACATGGATGCAAACAGGGCCGGCCTTAGGCAATTAGGCGCCCTGTGCAAAAAGTCTTCACGGCGCCCCCCCCACCTCCCACCAAGTTGCCTGAATACAGTAACACACACAGGCACCGGGGGCGTGTGTATCACGAGGCAAACAAGGCATCTGCCTTGGGCGCCACTTTGCAGGGGGCGGCAAAAAAAAGCATCCCTCCAAACCCCCAGGCAGATCCCTTGCTTGCCTCGCATCCTGGGGGGCTCAAGAGCTGACCGGCTGGCCACTTTTGAGCCCCCCAAGGCTGGCAGCGGGCAGCGAAGGAGCATACTCACCTGAGCTCTTCCTGCTCAGCTTCCTCTGCGCCGCTTAATGAAGCTGGGAGCCAGAATATGACGTCAGTCCGGCTCCCGGCATCACTAAGCGCTGCTTACTCAGCCTGTGCGCCCCCTGCCTGCCTGCCCAGCAGCCACACTGGACTGCTGGTAAGAAATCCACTCCAGCTTTCCCAGGAGGCTGGGTGGATTTAAAATAAATGTAAAAAATATTAGTTTGTGAGTGTTAGTGGAAATGTCTGTGTGTGTGTCTGTGAGTGTTTATTTTGAAGTGAATGTGTGTGTGTGTGTGTGTGTGTGTCTGTAAGTGTGTAATTGTGTGTGTCTGTAAGTGTGTAATTGTGTGTGTCTGTAAGTGAATGTGTGTGTTGGTCAGTGAGTGTATATGTGTCAGTCAGTGAGTGTGTATGTGTCAGTCAGTGAGTGTGTATGTGTTGTCAGTGAGTGTGTATGTGTCAGTCAGTGAGTGTGTATGTGTCGTCAGTGAGTGTGTGTGTCGTCAGTGAGTGTGTATGTGTCAGTCAGTGAGTGTGTATGTGTCGTCAGTGAGTGTGTATGTGTCGTCAGTGAGTGTGTATGTGTCGTCAGTGAGTGTGTGTCGGTCAGTGAGTGTGTAGGTCAGTGAGTGTGTAGGTCAGTGAGTGTGTGTCGGTCAGTGAGTGTGTGTCAGTCAGTGTGTATGTGTCGGTCAGTGGAGTCGTGCATCTTTCAGTGAGTGCTTGCGTCTGTCAGTGAGAGTGTGCATCTGTCAGAGTGTGTCCAAGTAATAGTGTATGTGTGTATGTCATTGTTTGTCAGTGTATATGAGAGTGTGTGTCTGTCAGTGAGTGTGCGTCTGTCAGTGAGTGAGCGTCTGTCAGTCAAAGTGTGGCCTTGACAGGAAGGGGTGGGGGAAATTTAAACTCGGTTACAGGCATGTACACACACACTCAGTTAAAGGCAGTCACACATACAGGCACAGGCACAGGCACAAACAATGGCACAGCGACACACACAGACAGACAGTCACATAGGCAGTCACACACACAGACAGACACACAGTAACAAACACATAGACAGTTATACACACACAGGCAGGCAGTCACACAGATAGAAAGTCACACACACAGGCAGGCAGTCACACACAGACAGATAGTTACAGACAGACACACACAGGCAGGCAGGCAGTCACATACAGGCAGTCACACACACAGGCAGTCACACACACAGACAGACAGTCACACACACAGACAGTCACACAGATAGAAAGTCACACACACAGGCAGGCAGTCACACACAGACAGATAGTTACAGACAGACACACACAGGCAGGCAGGCAGTCACATACAGGCAGTCACACACACAGACAGACACACAGTAACACACACATAGACAGTTATACACACACAGGCAGGCAGTCACACAGATAGAAAGTCACACACACAGGCAGGCAGTCACACACAGACAGATCGTTACAGACAGACACACACAGGCAGGCAGGCAGTCACATACAGGCAGTCACACACACAGGCAGTCACACACACAGACAGACAGTCACACACACAGACAGTCACACAGACAGACAGTCTCACACACACAGGCAGTCACACACACGGGCAGTCACAGACAGACAGTCACACAGACAGACAGTCACACACACAGGCAGTCACATACATGGGCAGTCACACAGACAGACAGTCACACACACAGACAGTCACACACAGGCAGGCAGTCACACACAGAGACAGTCACACACACACACAGAGACAGACAGTCACACACACACACACACAAGGACAGGCAGTCACACAGACAGTCACACACACACACACAGACAGTCACACGCACACAGGCAGGCAGTCACACAGACAGTCACACACACACACAGACAGTCACACAAACAGGCAAACAGTCTCACACACACACTTACCTCTTTCCAGTGGATGCAGTTGGCTGATGGGGAAGCATCTTTCCCTCTTCCTGTACAGCAGGGGCTTCGGGAGGTATTAGCCCCGTCTCCGCCTCTCGATAAGCCCCGCCTCCGCCGCTCGGTAAACCCCGCCCCCTCTGCCGCGATTTTTTTTAATAGACCGGGTGGAGAATAATTAATCCTCCAGCCAGGTACCTCTTTTAGCTCCCCTGCACTCCGGCCATGAGTGAGCTGTGTCGGCCACAGGGCGCCCCCTGTTCCATGGCGCCCTGTGCGGTCGCACAACTCGCACACCCCTAAGGCCGGCCCTGGATGCAAAGAAACAGTAGTTTGTTAGGTAGTTTTTTGTTTGTTTGTTTGTTTTTACTTGTGTTATTCAGTAGAAGTTGAAATGGTGTTTGAGGGTCTTAACGGTGAAGAACTGTCACTTCTCTGAAGTTCCTCTTTAATTACACATCCCACTTCCTGGTATCTCACAGAAATATACAAAATAAACTAGGTATTTTCCGACTCTCCTGAGTGATTATTTTGTGCTGCAAAACAGGTTACAAACTAGCTATTTGTGAATAACTGATTACTGAACATTCCAGCTAAACTATCCAATAATCTCATAGCAGAACAATGCTAACTAGCTATAGCATATGAAGTACCGTATATACTCGTGTATAAGTTGATCTCATGTATAAGTCGAGGGCAGTTTTGTGACCAACAATTGTGAAATATGCTATGCCTCGTGGATAAGTCGAGGGTAAAACTTGGGGCTATTAAATTCTGTGATTTTTATAATTATATACACACACACACTCATACAAACAAACACTCTGCATTATATATACACACACTCATACAAACAATCTGCATTATATACACACACACACACTCATACAAACACACACTCTGCATTATATACACACACACACACACTCATACAAACACACACTCTGCATTATATACACACACACTCTGCATTATATACACACACTCTGTGTATATAATGCAGAGTGTGTATATAATGCAGAGTGTGTATATAATGCAGAGTTTGTGTAGTGTGTGTGAACTAGGTGGGGGGAGGGCATTTTTATTATTAAATTTTTATTTTTATTTTAATATTATTATTTTTTTATTTACATTTTTTTTGTCCCCCCACCCTGCTTGTTAACTAGTCAGGGAGGGCGGCGATCTTAATCCCTGGTGGTACAGTGGCATGGGCTGTGAAGTGGGGGGGCCGGCAGGAAGCATTTACTTACCTTTCCTGCAGCTCCTGTCAGCTCCCTTCTCCTCCGTTCCGGTCAGCTCCACTGTAAGTCTCGCGGTCTGGTTGCCGCGCGGATTGTTGCCATGGCTCTGACGGCCGCGGCTCTCTAAGTTGCCATAATACAGACAGTGACTCGAGTATAAGTCGAGTGGGGGTTTTTAAGCACAAAAAATTTGCTAAAAAACTAGACTTATACTCGAGTATATACTGTAGATAGCACAGCTAGCTACTGTCACTGTAGGGCAAAGAACATTGCTTTTTTTGTTTAAATGTTCTATCCACGTCGTGTTTTCGGTTAGTCAGCAACAACTGAGGCTTAGAAGCTTCAGGGTATATATACATTGCAGATTGCAAACCCTTTTCTCCATAGACCACGGGTCAATTTCATTATGGATCCATCTCTTCCTAGGTGAGAAAAGCCTTGCACAGTAGTTGGACACATGCGGAATTAATGGGTCAATATTTCCCAACCAATCCATAGTTTATTGTACTAATTTCAGAACTGAGTGCAACTTTTTTTTTTCTTTTTATCAGCTTTGATTATATGCATAATATAAAGCTGGGCTGACCGTTCGGAGTTCAGTACATGCAAGGTTTGCACTTAGTTGAAACTAGACAATAAATTGAATAAATGGACTGTGACTTTCCTGACAAGTCTCCCAAGGTCTGGGTAACAGATATCGTGTTAGAGATTGAAAGTGACAAATCCAGATTTGCATGCATATTGTAGGTACAAGCAAAGGGTGATTTGGAGAAAGAAAAAAAAAAAGATATTGGAAGAAAAATAAGACATTTATCAAAGTGAATAAAACAAACCAAAACTTGGAAAAATTTGGAATGTAAGATGAAACCAGGATCAAAGAAAATAAAATGGAAAAAATAGGATTTAGTGTGAAAGCTGAAATATCTTGATGACATATGTATTTTAGTAAAATGTGTAGGTTGCGTTTATATATATATATATATATATATATATATATATATATATATATACACACACACAATTTAGTTCTAATAATTTTGTTATAGCTTATTCATTTTATTTATTTTTTCATTGAGAGGGTGTTGCTATTAAAGATTTAGAAATCTGTTGACCATACTACTTTTCTCATTATTATTTTTAAAGAGACAAGGTGTGCCATTATGTTCCGTATTGCATTATTCTAATTTTGTGGCTGGTTTAATTAATGGGACATTTCAAAATAACATAACTGCCTACACTTCTTGCATGTACTGCCTTCACTGGCTTTATTATATTTTCAGCAATTTGCTAAATTATTCCCAAACCACACAGTGCAAAAAAAAATTTTGAGCGGTGGTTCTATTCCTAGCCCCTGACCATACAGCTCCTTTGAAGCATGTACACTTGGAAAATGGCCTCTAATAATGGATAGGACATAACTGCCCCTTAACAGGTCCCAAAAAAATATACAAATAAGAGACCACTAACATCACTTTTAAGTGATTTGATTTCAAGTATTCCTAGACACCATAACCTGTGGAGCTGTTCTGCCAGTATATGTTTGGTGCTGATCACCTGCCCTTGTATTCCTTTTAAATCCCTCTAAATTCTCCTAAATAACCCTATATGATTAAAGAGAATGTAGCAATTTTTTATACTCTGAACGCAATATGATGATTCCTGTGTTAATATCAACTCCGTGATGCTTTGAGAGAGTCCACACAAGTCTGGACTCAAGGGTCCTTTCAAGACTGTATCCCAAATAATGCTTCTTTTCACTTTCCTAAAAAAAAAATTAAAAAAAAAAGCATTGTGATTTAAAATCACAAAAATTGTATCAACGCGCAGAATTGTTTTACATAAGTATTTTTCATAAACGGTACAGAATGTGCTTTCATTTCTTTCAGGGATAGTCTCGCTTTAACGTTGAATGCCAAATATATACGGTTGCCAGTTCTCCTTCTGTCAGTGACTACGCTTCAGTAGTTTCATAACTGCTATGACAAATATTCAAATGAATTCAGTGACAGTGAAATACTAATGGGAGACTGAGAAAATAAGATATCTTTCCATTCGAAAAGGTTCTGTGTGAATAATGAATCCATTTTCTCTGCAACACAGTCGGTAGTAAATAGCATTGTTAGTATCTGAAGATGGAAAATAAAAATTGTGTTAAATTAATCAATCTGTTTTGTCCCTTTTATTTCTTATTTTACTTCTTTTTTTTCCCTTTATTCCAGTGGAATTTCTTTTCAAGGCACAACTATTGGAATGGCTCCCATAATGAGCATGTGCACTGCAGACAAATCTGGTGGAGTTGTCATGGTGAGTGTTTGGATTAGTTTAAAAGGAAGATCCTTTTTTTTAAAAACGTGTTTTGAAACCATTCTGAGGAACGCTGCGGGAAGGTCAATTGTGGCTGTATGCCACAGGATGGGGGTTCATTCACTGCGGTTTGAAAGAACTATCAGAGAGATTATTTACCAGACAATGTCTTCCTTGTATATTCATAATAATGTTGCAAAATATAAGCTATTTATCCAGAATCCACTAAAATTGTTGAGTTGGACAATTTTTTAAGCTAGCTATTTTTTACTTATTTTTTTGCAGTTCAGTTTCCAAATCACCACAAGTCTTTAATGTGGTGAATGAACCTCCAAGCTTTTACAAGGTATATATTTTTTTTCCTCATCACACCTTAAAGGGACACTATCTCGTTGAAGTGGTCTGGGTGTAGTGTCCCTGCTCCTTTAACACTGAACTTGAAAATTTTGCAGTTTCATAGCAAGGTTAATACTGCCTCTAGTGGCTGTCTACCAGCGGCTCTCCCTCCTTACACCCTGACTTTGCCGAAAGACTTATGCGTGATGACGCCCGAACGTGGTTAATGCTTATCGATAGAGAAACAATGTATCCATAGCTTTTCTAAAAGAGGAAGTGGATTGCCAGACCAAAGTAAATTAATTCAACATGGTTTCTTAATGCTTTTATATAAGAGCATTTATTGGACATAGGTTATCATAAGTTATGATAAGCTCCAAATGGAACACATCCAATAGATAGATATGTGTATTTTTTTAATTAAGTGTTCCTGCAAACGGTTTCCTCATATCCTTCTGTTTTATTTTTAGAGAATATTCTCTCATATCCCATTCTATAGCTGGGGCAGGAAACCCAGACATACTTACTATCCTTGTGTCACCCTAAGGAGCCTGCTCTGGATTTTCCAGACAACGGTTGCTTGAATCATGACTGTAATATTTTACTCAAAGGAGCATTCATACAGTTTTGCCATTTATATGACTATTTTCCTAGACAATATTTAAAAAATAATTTTCCAAACTGGCTTTGTTTTTATTACCCTGTATATGAAGTCCTATAGGGTTATTAATTAAAGTCTGAATACCCCCAGTCCTCATTTACAAAAATCATCTTGATTCGGATTGCAAAATCCTGACATTATTCACATTATTTATTATTATTTACCATTAAGTTGGGTAATTGTAACATCCCCTTGATGTTGGGAAAAAGTAACATCCGCAGGATGTACTTGGAAACCAGAGTAATTTGAATGTACCTTTACTCGTTAAATACTTTGTTATTATTATTATTATTACTCTTTAGATTTTGCAATGCAAACTCTGATTTTTTTTTTTTGGATCAGCTTAAATCCAGAGCATTCAAACAGTTTGGATTGTTAAAATACAGACATGAAGTAGCCAGCCGTCACTGTAAAAATTAAAAGTAAAAAAAAAAAAATTATCCTAAAAATGAATGGGAGGGTAGAATCTTCACTTCTGCCCCTCCCCCCCCCATGGCAGATATCTACTAAATGAAGATATACACAGGATAGTGAGCAGCTAGTGTTAACACCCCATCACCTGGCAGTAGAATGGAGTATTATAATTCGGTATTATGATCCCCCTTATCAACTAACTGCCCAACAATATGGGGTTGCAAACATGAGTGACTGGTCAGCTAACAAAGAGGGTGGACATGTCGTTGTCCACACCAGTACCTCCAACCCTTGGGAATAATTTGGGAGCTATAATTACACTCACCTTGTTTTAGGGTCAATGACATAATAAACAACATTAAATAAACACTTTACTGTTAGGAATACAAAGATGTTCCTCTGCCCCCATGATAACCCCTCTCCCCTCCCCCTCAGTAACCTCCTGCCCCGCCCACAAAAGGGTTAAAAACTGGCCCTGCTATGAGCCTGCGGACCGGGGAGGGAGAGCAGAGATCTGTGGCAATATGGTGGCAATATTGACTCCTCCTCCCCTCCCCATTAATCGTCCTACTGCCTGATAGCTTAACCAGTGGGCAAATAGCCCATATTTAATATTTATCAGATTTGCCTGGCACAATCTAATTAAAATTTGGTTTTTGCTAAATATGCAAATCCAATTTAGTATTTTCATCTAAAAATGACTGATTTTAATGGAATGCTCCAGCATTCGAAATAAATACATTTATTTATAACGCAGTAATGTTGACGAGTCTGACAGGCCCCATTTTCCTCACTTTCTTATAAATTAATGGTTTGTTTCCAGCAGCAAGACAGTCCTGTGTTTAGGAAATCATCCACTCATTAGGAGATCATCACAAACATAGGCTTACACCAGGGCTCAAAAGCACCACCGTACTTGCTGTCTGATATAAAAAAAAAAAAAAAATGCTGTAAGTTTATAAAACTTGCTGATATATTTAGAAATATATTACAAAAATCTCTGGTCAAAAACTTCCTTGACACAGAATCTCCCTCTGTCACAGTGAATTATTTATCACCATTTTCTCCTGGTTCAC